CGCTATGTTTACAATGTTGGCATGAAGGAATTCAGGAATTTGCTGCACCACCTGGACCAGAACGGACTTGTCCCACGAGTACATGGAAACAAAGGACGTCGTGCTCCCAATGCCATGCCATTTGTAGCTGTGGAGGCTGCTGTGACTTTCCTGAACCACTTTGCGGAACAATTTGGCATCCCGCACCCTGCGCCGCTGCGTGGTAGAGCAGACCGACCACCAGTGTTTCTGCCTGCTTATGAGACCAAACTCTCCATTCACAAGAAGTATGTCGTGTCCTGTACTGAAGCTGGTATGCGAGCCGTCGGATATGATACACTTCGTGACATCTGGAAAAAATGTTTACCGCACATTGTAATTGCCTCTCCCAGAGCGGATGTTTGTGAAACATGCAAGGCTCTACGGCGCTCAGTTGTCAGCGCGGCGTCTGAGGCTGAGAAATTGGCTGCAACTGCTGCCTTCACAGAACATATCCACGCAGCGCAGCGTGAGCGTGAATTGTACCGTGCGCAGACTGTGGAGGCCAAGGAGGAACTTAAGTCTCTCCCACAAATTCCAGCACCTCCACAACCTAGCTGCAGCCAACCTCTGACCAAGGTTCATGTAACCTTTGACTTCGCCCAGAATGTGGCATTACCGCAATCGTCACGGCAGGAGGGCCCCTTGTTTTTCAAGGTGCCGAGAAAGATTCAACTCTTTGGAGTGAACTGCGAGGCGGTTCCGAGACAGGTTAACTACCTACTAGATGAAGCTGATACGATTGGGCAGGACGGCAAGCGCTCTCATGGTCCGAATGCTGTCGTGTCCATGCTCCACCACTATTTTGAAACGCATGGGCTAGGTGAGAAAGCTGTACACTTGCATGCCGATAATTGTTCTGGTCAGAACAAGAATCGCACTGTATGTGCCTACTTTGCTTGGAGGGTTATCATGGGCTTCCACAGCACCATCACCTACAGTTTCATGCTGACAGGGCACACACGGTGCCTCGTCGACGGCTGTTTCGGATTGATCAAACAGCGCTTTCGTCGGAGCGACTGCTATTCCCTGGCACAGCTGGCAGCATTGGTTAACAGCAGTGCATCATGCAATGAAGCCCAGCTTGTTCAGGGATCTAGTCTAACTTGGAGGGAATGGGACGCATTTCTAGCCCAGTTTTTCCGACCCGTTAAAGGTATCCGCGGGCTTCACCACCTCAGGTTTGATGCTGCCGCACCAGGTGTTGTATCCGTCAAGAAGTCTGTGGGTGGTGAGGAAGAAGCCATAGTTCTGCTGAGTGTTCCGATCGACACTGTGAAATCTGCTGGGCTACCACCTCTGCTGCCTGCTGCTGGCCTCAGTCAATCTCGCCAGGAGTACCTGTTCAACACGGTGCGACCGCATGTGCCTGATGAATACAGAGATACGCTATGCCCAGCGCCAGAAGGCAGCATGGCAAGCTGACTGTCCGCAAAGTTCACCACAATCATGCATTGCTTGTTTACTTTTCTGCTGGCATCCTTCTCACGAGGTGATTGGTACTGTTCCACCTACTGGAGGATAACGTTCCTCCCAGAACACTAGGTGTAAAGAGACTACAAATTTTCTATTGACGGTGATGTACATGTATTATTGTGTAGAACACATCTCAATGTTCCTCCCAACAGTGTCAAGACGGTCTCACGATTGTTCTGTAGAGTGTGATGTACTCTACATTTCCAGGAAGCCCCAACCAGGCCTCCAAGCATTATTGTACTTTGAAGTACGAAACTTGTAATGTACTTCACAGCTCGCATACTCGCTTTGTATTTTCTGTGAATTTTAGTCATAGATGGTCCGGATAGTTTCCACCGTAACTCTGTGATTAATTGAGATTTTTGGACCTGGTTTTTTGCATGACAATCTCCTGACCAGGTAGTATCTGAAACAATCGTCAACTCAGTTTGGCCAAAAATGTCATAAGGTACCTTTTTGCTTCTGACGGCTCGTATATGATCTGGTTACTTTGGTGAACAGTTGGCCATAACTCGTTACTTTCGGTCCTTCCTTTCTTACCCATGAAAACTAGCCTGTTATAAATTTAGCAACCCTGCTCAACTAGTCCAGGTAGAAAGCTAAAACCTTACCGTATGAGAAGCAAGAAGAAAAAGTATCTCACCTCATGTCCAGTGTGTAGCTCGACAATGGCGTCCAGGTCATGAACTGGCAGTGACTGGTGTAGAACACCAGAATTGGTGTCATCCAGGAATGCGTTGAGCTTGGCAGCTCTCTCACGCCACTCCTTTGCCTGGTATGAACACAAAAATGCACACACGCACGCATGCAGAGTACGCACATGCACACATCAACAGACAGGTTGGTCAATTTTCGTCTGATGATTGATTCAGTACGTGAAACTCAGAGTTACGAAACCGCAACTGCTCGTTCTTCTGTGTATTCCACTCTTTGCCTTCGGCAAATTGAGCCCTCTACGGACGGTGAATGAACTTCACATGGCGACAGATTGGTCATGGTGAAATTCTGGACTGAAAATTCTGGACACAAGAATATGACGAGCACTCGGCGAAAACGTCCTCTGGTACAACATCAAAGTCGTAAATGTTTCCAGAACCGATTTTCCTGCCACGCTCATTAGTGGATTCTCGTGACTAAAGATAGGGATATCAGTCATGTGACAGAAGCGCCTGCTTTGATCTGGATGGTGATGCGTGCAAAAAGGATCTACGTCATGGCGCAGTGAAGTGGGTGCACTTCTTGTTCGCTTTTGTTTGAATTTATTCATTTTCAGTGGGGAAGATCACTGTCAGCTGAGGTTTTGAGCTTTCGTTTCGTGTGTCACAATGTAGTGCCTAAGATCTCTAGCTGTTTCGAGCGGTAATGAAATACTCAGACGCTGTTTTCTCCCGCTTCTGGTAAGTCCTCGCTCTCGCAGCATCGAAAATCATGATCTACGACCTCGATTTTACAAAGAATGAATATGCCTGTTCCTCTGCAGGACAGCGATTCTTCATGGAATTTATTTCCCTAGTACTGACCAATGTAGTCATGGAAGAATGTGTTGCCCCCCCCCCCCCCCCTCATTGCGAGGAGCATGGACTCAACGGAGAAGCGCTGGGCGGTGCCCTTGCTGACAAGCACAATCTCCCAGCTCTGTGTCGACGTGGTAGAGTGTCCAATGGCATTGCTTTAGAACAAATGGACTACAAGCGAGGTCATAATCTCAGCTGCTGGTGCGAACATCGCCGGTGTAAAGTCACAGAAGAGTAAACTGCAGAAAGATGAGTGTAACTTACGGCAGCTTCAGGAATATCTCGTTCAGCACTTTGACATCCCTTTTGTGCAAAGAAGTTAGTCTTGCAGTAGGTATCACTGAGCATGCAAGTGCCAGGTGCACAGACTAAGGCACCTTTCAAGAGAAGGTAGAAAAGGCTTTCGCAAAGGAGGCCTGTGATTAGAAACACAAATTGAAAGTAGAGCAAGAGTGTAATTAGAAATCGCAGGAATCAGTACAGTTGCTGTACAGCCGTCTTCTTGCGGAAAGTTGTTGGTAGGCGCACCAAGAATATAGATGAAATGGGACAGCATGAGACAACGCTGCACGAAACAGTTGACAAGCTCGATTCCGATATTGAGAGCATGGCTTTAGAACATGGGTGATGGTGTTTTTGTCGATCATGTTCGCATGTGTCATCTCAAGCTGCTGTCACTGAATGTTGGGATCCTGAACATCCGTCCTGTAATCGAAACAGTTGTGGAGATGGTGGGAATGGATGCTGAGCAGTTGCCAAGTACAGGAACTCTTTCAAACATGTTACTAGAATTGAAACGCATTAGCTCCATGCCCATGCATGCAGCCTCAGAACTTCTTGCGTCGGATAACCTGACACTCTACAGTGATGGCACATCCAGGTGTGGCGAGAAGTATGGCACATACCTGCTTGCAAATGAATGTAAAACATTCAGCATGGGTCATGTCGATATGAAATGTGGTACTGCTGCTCACACCCTTAAGAAACTGCAGGAAGTGCTACGCGATGTAGCTGATGTGTGTGAAGCACTGGGTGGGAGTAAGGCTGGTGACAGGATTTTGTCAAAACTGAAAAACACGATGAGCGGCAGATGTGCTGTAGAGAATGGTAATGGTATGGTAATGAACCCGAGTGCAACCCAAGATGGCCTATGCACGTCGCAGGCAGAGGAGTACTTCATCCTGTATACTTGAAGTATTGCCAACATGTTTGGCTGTCATGCCACCAATCCGCACTCGTGGAGGTCAAAGCAACTTGTGTCCTACATGAATGCAGGCTTGGTTTTCTTAAAGATGTTCACGGTGAGACAAACCTTTTGCTCAAAGCTGTCTCTGCTGACCTGGGTGTTCCAGAACAGATTGCCGGTGCAAGGGCGCTTGGACGAATTTGCAAGTTAGTCACTGCTCCTCTGTGGTGAGTGCCGGAAGATCGACGCAATAGTATTCTGGATATGTCATCAGTCTACTCTGCAATGCACCAGAAACTGACAGAGTGGGTACCTGATGCATTATCACTGCTTGATGGGTCTGAACGACCTTTTCCCACAGCTTGTGTTCCCGTTCTTGATCCAGTCTTTAGTTGCCAGGCATTGAGGACCCTCGGCCATTTGATGCACTTCTCGTGTGCTCTGGATGGCAGTCGTGGGTCAGTCAAGTCTTAGTGTCAAGTCAAGTCGGCGGAAAGCGTGCGCCCCAGTGTGGGGAGCAACCAACTTTCCTATAAAATTATCACCGAAGTCGCTACCATGTTTTTTAAAAAATTTTCACGTTGATTTGATATACTTTCATGAGTTGACCATGTCGGGACGCATCGAGTTTGTTGCTTTGAATTGTTTCTTGCTCGATTTCTTTCACGATTTGTTCTTTTTCTTGTCTGCAATTTTTCTTGATTCATACTTTTTCGACACTAAGGCAGTAAGGGACTGGTGGTACCGTAAAAGCCTGTAATAAGGCCCTGGGCGGAAACGTTAGTGAAGGTTTAGAACATGAGCGTCAATTGGGGCCTGGGCGCTAATGTGGGCCCGGGCATTATTTCGGGTAAGTGAAATCAGACGGATTTTCACATCATGCTGTACTACTGCATGTACAAATCAGGTTACACTGTACACTGTACACTAGGATATACTACAGAGCACATGGAGCTGTGCATGCACTGCACTGTGTACTGTACACTACACTGCAGTACCGTACATACATATGGAGCTGTGCATGCACTGCATTGTGTAATGGACCTGTGCTTTCGCCCATGGGCGTTTACACGGAGGTGGGCTAGAAAACGAGACAAGAGTGCTGACACTGGGCACCTGGGCATGTACGCGGATAGTGGGCGTTATACTGGGCGGGCGTTACTACGGGCTTTTACGGTATCTGTGTGACGAAATGGGAATACGTATTTATACCACTGCATAGTGATCCGTCCCATAGTCACAAATACTAGTTCTTCTAAAGCAAACGTGTGTGTTATCACTTTATCAGTGTGTCTTCTAACAAGGTTTCACTCTATTATAACACTGGCAATCCAATGAGATACGCGGACGTGCGACTTACCCGTTCTTGATCTTCCTCAATGGCGTTAACCTTGTCGTCAATCTCTTTCGTGAGTCCGGACCAAGCCGCTGACATTGCCTTGACTTCTGTGTCGACGTCGTCCAAGTAGTGGTCATGGCGACTGGTCGGCTCTGACTTCAGCTTGTCAATGCTCTCCTGAAGCTGAATGCGCTGCTTGTCATGATCGGGCACAGCCTCTTGAACACTCTGTGAGCACACATTTACACAGCGTAGTAAGTAAGTGCTTGCCTATCACCCCTTTAGTTCACATTCATGAAACAAATTTTGTTACTGGCAGTCATTTGACGAGCCAGGAAATGTTGAATAAATACAAATACAAGTAAAGTGAAGTTTGCACATCCGCGCACCACCGTCCATACAATTGTGTTGAGAAACACAACCAGCTTGGGAAGTTTAGCTCGTGCCAGGCCACCACCATGCCTGAGTACTACAGTGGAAGACGCAGCGCCTAGCGACGAGGCTGAGGTGGTAAGTCTTACAACCAGTGCCCGACAAGCTGGCTGAACCTCATTGGCTGCATCCAAGTTACCCTCACTCCCGGTAGCGAGTACAAATTTGACCCCGGTGTCTGCGCAGTTCATTGCATGTAAAGTGGTTCACGCATGCAGCACCGCATTTGTTAGCACAGTGCACGCTGCCAGCGCGGGTCTCGAACTCAGGACCTCATGATTTGCAGTGGCAAGCCCTCAACCATTCGGCCAAAAGCGCTGGCCCAACACAATACGCATTGCTATTACCGGTACCACTCCAGCAAGGATACAGCTCCAAACGTGAAACAGTTCCTCCATTGTGTTCCCATAGGCACAAGGGCCAGCAATCAAAAAGGGGGTTCACAAACGGAACTGTGCTGGCCATGACTGCTAGTGAACAAGAGATATACCTTCAGCTCCTTGATGTCAGGCTTCGGATCAGAGACGGCCTTCTGCATGCGATCTTGGAACACTTGCAGCAGGCGCAGCACAACAAAGCGGTTCACCACCTCCCAGCGCTGACGAATGCCGGCCAGGCGATCATCCATTTTCGCCTTTCCTTCACTGCTGCTGTCGACAACCACCACTTCCACCAAGACCTCTTGATACACAACTAGCTCACGTTCACGTTCCTAGTCACATTCAGAGCCAGACAAGAGCACAACACACACACAAAAACACTTCAGTGACAGTGCATGCCGAAGTCCAGGCGAGAAAGTCACCAAAATTAAAGAAAGCATCAGGCTGGAAGAAACGGCTTAGTAGCACAAGTGTGTTACAGTCGAATCCACTTACAACGAACTCGCATATAGCGAATTTCGTGATATAGCGAACCCTGGTCCATGTCCCTGTTTGAACCCATACAAAAATGACCCTTTTATATAGCGAACAGTTTTCGTTTATAACGAACCAAATCTTGTAGGGCCACGTGTAAACCAGGTACACTCATACTGCCATGGGCCACAATCCGCTCATGACTTGCTGCTCGCATAGTGTGAGTGCATTTCTGTTATAACGAGCTTCGGCTATAAAGAACTAATCCTCCTGCACAATGGTGTTCGTTATATCAGGAGTCAATTGTAATCATGTAACACTGACTGCACACTGAACCAGCACTGCATGAATGTACGAGCAGAGAACAAGAACAAGACGCTGGAATCTGGAAAGTAAAAAATATCACTACTTGTAGCTATTAGTGAACCGGGACCGACGTATCCTAACAAACTGACCTTCAACACCTCCGGCCGGAGGGTGTTATCGTGCGCCTGCACCTCCTCCAGGTGATCCAGCCAGTCCTCCACAGTCTTGAGGCGTGCGTCCTGCAGCACCGACAGCTTCTTCAGCAGCTGTGCCTGAAGTTGAGTGGCCGCGCCGCTCACCTCATTCCATTTTATCACAAGACCGGAGAGTGCCTACATTAGAAGTAACAACAAGCGCACCAACAATGTCTACCTCACACTTACCACACACGGAGACTGGCACAACGCAGGTCTGCCTGACACAAGAAGTGGATGGATGTGGCAGTTCACAACAGAATAGACACAAAATTACCAAAGCATGAAGAGTTCTCTTTCTCCTTCTACCCTCTGAAATACTAGCCAAGCACAAATTGACAAAGTAGAAGTAAAAACATCGACTACTACACTGCCATCTAAGTGATCAATGCATTACTTTGTGACACTTCTTTTTGTTCGGATTGCTTTTCGGCATCTTCATGATGAGTGGCGGCACTCTTGTCTGCAGGTCCTGAAGCTGTGACTCCTTTGCTCGGCCCAGCTGGTGCTTCATGAAGTCCTATTGACACCCATGGGGCATGTGAACACATGCACACATGCACACGCAGGTTTGCACGCACGCGCGCACACACACGCACGCACGCACACACACACACACATTACATTGCAGCCATAGAGTAGTAAACTACTACCTTACTACTCCCTGGTTCCAACCTAATCACCGCATAACATGACAGCTGACACAAAATGTGTGTTGGTCAACGGGTCTCAAGCACTTGAACTCAGACAGCCGCAACACAAAGCTTTCGAGCATTACCAGAGTTACTGTCCCTTCGAAAGGCCACGGAATGTACAAGTTACCAAATCTGCATCTGCATTCATGCTTGAGCAAGTTACTTGCCACTGCTACAAAGCGACCTACCTGATGGTCATCAAGCTGTTGCTTAACAGCATGGAAGTCATCCGCAATGACGAGCTTGCTCATTTTCACCTCTGCAGCCAGCAACTGCTCGTTGAGAACATCCATTTGGGACATTGCATCGCCAATGGGCTGCACAAAGACAATCAGGGGTATACAAAGCAGACCAGTTAACCCTTTGACTGCTGCTGGGAGGCTCTAATAGGCGATTCAGACTACGGCCAAATGTGACCACGTTTCTACGACTCAGATGGGTTTGATCAGGGATTGTGCATAACATTTTGAAACACGACTGCATCACCATGGAAATTCAAGTTCAGACGTAATTTTGGCCGCAGTCTGAATCGCCTATTAAGGACCAGCAAAATGGGTCACTTGTTTTACTGAAAACACACCACACGTAAAAGATCGTAACACTGGCATCCATTCTCTAAATTTCAGGGTCTTTAGTACTCTTTAGCTTCCTGGAACGCTACTACAAGGAAACGACGCACTGAAGCACCAGCCTTCACAAGCTGGAGACCAGCTCTAGAACCAAGCGAAAGTTGTCCCAAAGTCGTGGCACAGTTGTGCAATCAAAGAAAGTTTGCTTTCAGCCGCCATTTGACTCTCCTTGCTCGTATCGAGCTTGATTTTTTGTAACATGCCCGCGAGAGTACACTGCTCGATTTGAACTGAAGTTGCCATGGCACCAAGTGGCAAAAAGCGAAGAAGAAAAAATAAGTTGTATTTCTCGCTGTACGTCTATAGGCGAGAAATGATTTCTCATGCAACATTTTCGGTTGCAAATATGGCATCTGATGTGTTCTTCATCATTGTTTCTTTTCCTGACTTCTTCAGTCAGTTTTGAGTCTCACCAGTGCCCTTGCCCTCCCACCCTTCATTTCCGTGCATCTTAATATTGCTTTGTACAATGTTTTGCCGTGATCTGCTCGCCATGCCTACATGACGCCAAATCGCCATTGGGGATATACACTCATTTTTTCTTCACTACTGCGTCCGTCAACGCGAGGGTTTTTTCCCGGCTGGCTCGGTCCAGGAAAATTAATCTGATGGCCCCAAGTGGTTGTGCATCATGGCCTACATGTATTTCTGCTATCCACTTGCACACCTATTCCATTTGAGACACCCTGCTCTCAGCCCTTGCTTCCATACCTCACTCGTTATCCGGTTCACCTTTGGCTGCGGCCAACTACCCTTCAATTTGTGTGTTGTCGCTATCGCTGTCTATATCTGTGCGTGTGCCAGTATAATATGTGGAGCGAGAAAATCAAGTCAGCACCCAAAGCACAGAAGCCATACAGTTTTGACTAGGCCTTTCGTACCATTACTTTTCAAGTCAAATACAGTTGTGGCAAGTGAAATCCGACACTTGGCATAAGGGACTGCACCATGCAGTCTGCAGCCCCTGCAGCCCTGCATACGTACAGTACATGTGTTACATACAACTTTATCTGTCTGATGACAAAACTCGTACTCATCACAGTCAAGGTTCAAAAGGTGCTGGCAAAAATGAATGGGGATTGGATGGGGCTGTGTTTACATACTCCTTCTGTGTGCCATATTTGTGAACTGTGTGTATCTACGCTGTGACCTTTCGATCTGTTTGGGATGCATACGGCTCTATAGTACAAATTAGGTGCCGTGCATTACATCATTGATGTCCATTTGTGGCGCTGTCCCCGATGGCAAGTGTCGGACTTCACTTGCCACAACTGTACAATGGTGATTAACGGTTATAAGGACTTGCTTGCTACCTTGTTAATCACCATTGTATTCGACTTGAAAAGTAATGGTATGAAAGACCTATAGTCTGTTTCAAAAAGATTAGCAATCCTGGGGATCGCCCGGGAAGTTTGCCGTCTTACCGTATGAGCGCTCGAGCGCTGCCTGGAAAAACTCACTGTGAACTCAAAGAAATATTCCACGCGAAAGCATGAAAAATGACAACTCACTGACGTCGGTACATGTACGTCTGGTTTACAACAAACGAGTTCTCTCTGACTCCATATATATGGATACGAGGAAGAACATGTCGAAAGTGTGGTAAATTTTGACGAGTGGGATGAGTCCCAATGCGTTTCGTGACCAAAATAGATTCTTTGAGCTGCCGAGGATGCAATTTACTCTCACGATGTGACGAAAACGGCATCGACACAGACTCATTCCCAAGGCCATGATGTGGCAAAGCTATCCGTGTGACTTCGACGACATTTTGAGAAAAGTAGATGCCTGTGAAAGCTGATAGAAGACGGCGTTGACTTCTAAATTCAATTAAATTGGCGATCTTGAAATACTAAAATAATTCTCAAACAGAAATCGATCGATCCATGTGCCGGTGTATTCAACAACACGTAGCTACAGCGCAATGGCTTCCGTGTTCACTCACACCGTTTCAGTGCTGTGTGTGTTCACAACTTCACATGGCGTGAGCCAGTCAAGTGTGAGTCAGTTCGGCAGGAAACGCGAGCTCCAACAAGTCGTTCGGCGCAGCCACCTTCTTTGTCTTGTACCAGCGTGATCACCAAAACAATGAAAAAATGAAGAAAAAATGATTGACTTGAAGATTTGTTGGGATTTGAACTCACAACTTCATGGTCAGCAGACAGCATTCATAACCACAAGGCCAAAAAGGAAGGGATAAATCGTGGGTTTCGATAACAAATCGATACTGGCTTCCAGGGCAAATTATAAACCATGGGAAAGGGCCAGAAACCTGGCCGAAATTCTAACTCCTTAACGTTGGTCCAATTGTTCCGAAACCTTCACAGAACAATTTGCCGTGCCCTAACAAGCCATTTTATGTACTTTGTTGTCCAAATATCTTCATACTTTTTAAGACCCAAACTTGATTGCTAATCTTTTTGAAACAGACTGTAGAAGTCCATCTTTTTTATGAATGGACTGTAGGATGACAGCAACGAGAAGGGGCCCAAGTGACCTAGGATCCCCTGCTGTGTACTTACATTATCAGTGGTGTCGATCGCAGTGGCGGCAGCAGCAGGGGAAGTCGGGGAAGTAGGGGAAGTAGCAGCAGTAGGCATGTCATGTGGCAGAACGTTGTACAGCTCTCCCGTGTACACCATGATGGACTTATCGTTAGCTTTTCCGTCAGCAACATCTGTATGCCAACGGGTACATACACAGGCACACACGCACACACGGACGCACGGACGCACGCACACACATACACACACACACACACACACACACACACACACACACACACACACACACACATGCACACATGCACACACAGAGTCAGCCAAACGAAACAAATGACGATCCTGCAAACAAGCTGGAAGGAAAGAATGCTCTGCCCAGAATGGCTTCTCAAGTTCAATAAAAGCGGTAACGCAATTACATGTACATCATCACGGAGGACTTGTGTAAGGTGTGGTTATTCAATTACATCAGAGGAGTTGAGTATGGAGGAGCGATGCAATTACATCTTCGGAGGAGGAGTTGCATAATTGTGGAGTGGTAGCAAGGGCAACTGCTTGCCACTCAATAAGGAACATATGCAATAGTGTCATTCGAAACACCTCTATGTCACAAACCTTCTGGTGACAAGAGCGGCTCGACGTTCAGCTCTTCCTTGGCTGTGGTGAAGGCTAACTGTAGCCGCTCAACAGGCGCCTTCTTTCTCACTTCACTCATGTTCACAAGATCGGGTCTATGGAAGCAATGGCGAATGCACACACACACATGGCAACACAAATGTGACATCAGAATAAGCAAAGCCGACCACCGTGGGCTGACATAATTCCCCATGATACTCATCACAGACATTGAGGGGGAGGAAGGGGGGGGGGGGGCTAATTTAGTACAATACAATAAATTGATATGCAAGAACGTGCATGGGCACGCACATAATACATGCACGCACACACTGATACACGCACACATGCACACGCACACAGACGTGGACACGGACACACACGCACATAGTGCTGTACACCAATCCTCAATGCATACAACTGCTTTGCAGGGACAGTACTGAGCACAGGCAGAGATAGTTTATGCTTGCTTTTCAACATTGTCACTAACCTGTGGCAAGCAATAATGGCATTGAACGCCAGTCCATTTTCAAACGACACTGCCGCAAAGTTGTTGGCCTCGATGCCACTTCCCTCGCTGTGGAGAAACGACAAGCAGTGAAATATCAATGTCAACAAGACCGGAAACTGGAAACATTCACAGCTCGCGTACATGTACGAGTGAATCAGATTGACTGCACCGCATCCACAGAAACGCCACTACATTGTACCTTCAATGATCAAGACGCAGCTCATCAAGCCACATGGATTCGAGTAGATCAGACTCACCCCACATGGCAATGGTTTTATCGGTCCTTGATCACTTTCAAGAGTCTGATCAAATTGCATCCACCGTGCAGCAAAAGCCAAAATTGTGCCATACCCAAAGCAGAGAATAATGGTGTTTGCAGCTATCACGCTATGTATGCAGGGTGGCTAAGTTGGTGGATCAATGCTCGCATGATTACCGGTAGCTAGACAGGGCTGAAACAACAACCAGAACTTCGTGTCTGAAATCGTGAGCTGCTTGGCCCATCTCTACAGCCAGAATTTTTGGCAGCTGAAAAGGCTTTACGATTACTCAATCGGCACAGCCATGGACAATAACTGTATCGAGTGTGGCCACAAACTGGGGTATCAACAAATAACACTTTTCGTTTTTCAAAACAAAAGTATTTCGGTGGGGGTAGGTGGGTTTAGAGTTTTGTTTTGAAAAGAAGTCTTGACTGCACCTGGAAAATGGCTAGTGATACTGGGCTGAAGAGAGCGGGTAGCTCTGACGAGATGGTTTAACGTTAGACACATGCCATCATTTCTCAACGGCACCCTGAACTAAGTGTTCTTTCTCTCTCTCTCTCTCTCTCTCTCTCTCTCTCTCTCTCTCTCTCTCTCTCTCTCTCTCTCTCGCTCTCTCTCTCTCTCTTTCTCTCTCTCTCTCTCTCTCTCTCTCTCTCTCTCGCTCTCTCTCCTGCTCACGCACACCGACCCTACCCATGCATTTTCCTTTGGTCCGGTGTGTCATGTAAACTCATTCGAATACAACATCTACACTGTAGTCGAGAACATGACAAATCCCGCATGCTGCAGTGGAATCACTATAACGTAGGGACGTATTGAATTCACGTACGCTTCCAGAGATGCCTTCACCCAGTCAATTATCAGCTTCTGGGAATCGTGGCTGTGCGACATTTCTCGACTTGTAATCTGCAGCCATGGAAGGAAGGAGCGGAGGAGACAGATTTAAACTTGGGTTAGGGGGACATACGTGACAACCGGGAACGTGAGCATAGCTCGCACTCCTCTATGTGAATCCAGGCCAGTAATTATATGAGTTTTCAAACACAAGGCAAACAGCTAGCCAGTGAGTACAGTATATGAGCTTTCAAATACATGGCCACCAGCTTCCCTGCTCCACCACAGGCAAGGCTTAACTCGATCAGAAACTAACTGGATACACACTCACTTGGTATCGAAGTAGAATTTGCCAAATTAGGCCAAGCGTCAACTTGGCATCGCCATCAACAATGTTAGCCGCACCGGTATTCTTAGATTTCAGCACCTAAATAAGAAACAGGCGTTGTTGACAGGCATGCGCACGCACACATGCACACACAAGCATTTGTGCGCATACGCGGGCACACACGCGCATGTGCTCTCACACACACACACATACACACACACGCACACGAAATTTTTAACCGGACGAACTCCTTTTCTTTGGAGTTGGACGAAATTATTGACCGACGAAATTTTCTGCCTCTACAGTACAACGAAATACGATGTTGAACCGACGCTTGCACTGCTGTACACAAAACGTGCCAATCCAGGATGAAAATGTGCACAATTCAGCACATCGAGTCTGATCCTCCACGCTGTTGTACATCGAACTGCACTTGACGGCCTTGATCTAATTCCCGCCCCCTGCCGAAAACCCAGCTGGGAAGCGACATGGCGTGGGGGGCGGATCAACGGTACTTTACGGTACATGCACACACACGCACGCACGCACGCATGCATATGAGCACGCGCACAGGAGTGCAAACCAAACAAATGCATAATGCTGGAAAAGTCCTGGAAAGGCAATCAACCCAGCATTCAGGCAGTTGTGATCAAATGACACAAAATTGAGAAGGACCCAAGCATTCCAGCAACAGGAAAGAGAAGCATGCACCACGTACAGCCCTCAGTGTCCCGACAGCTCTACAGTATCCTGACAGTCAGTACACACAAACTTACGCCGTGCTTATCCAAGTAGGCTAGGGCTTGCTCACAATTCAGATTATGACTGAAGCGCAGCGAGCCACGTTCGATAGTCTGGACAAATAACATATGAACAATATATATACAGCACCACACTCAACGGGTCGCAGCACAATATGCACTAAGCTAATCACTTGAAAACAAAACGAAAATGATAAACTGAGTTAATGCAGAGACTTTCGCATCTTTCCCTCAAACCAATGAATATTTCATGCAGAGACTGTTCATTTCACATACCTAACTTACGAATTGGGTGTGTGGCTTCAAGTTAAAAATAAAACTATCCCATGTGTCCACATTATGGCTCACAGTCACTATAATGCACAGCACAGTACAGACTGCAAAAATACGGCATCGCAAATAGGAACTTTCGTGCCGGGTGCGACAAATTTGGTACTATGATTTTGAACTTTCCTAATTGTTCAACAGGATTTCCCGTCGCCACTACAGCTCTGTGGCTCAAGACACTCGTCAAATGTATTCGGTGTGGTAGAGACTACTTTTGAACTACAAACAACCCATAGTTAATACTCCCCCTCAGATGGTGCAGCTCTTCATGCAGCAAATAACTGCACCAGCTATCATGGCTCAGCAGTGGTATCCATTACAAACTCTAAATAGTAAGCACATGACATCTTGGGCGTTCTTCGGCCACCCAGTCTTACTGTAAAAGTATACTCAGGCTGGTATAGCATGAGATCCATGACGGAGAGGGCTTTTAAAATCGGGCTCTCCGTACCTAACTACCCCGGCGCCATACTCACAAAGTGATGCTGGGTAAGGACTTCGAGCAAGATGAGCAGATTCTCGCCGCTCTGCAGGCCTTCAAAGATGTCGTCAATCTGACGAGGTGGATTGGCCTGTAAGGGTTTCAGCACAGAACATCAGTATGACTAGTCATCAACAACTTCTATTTGGTAGAAAGATGATAGGAAGGGAAAGGAAGAGGGAGGGAGGGAGGGAGGGAGGGAGGGAGGGAGGGAGGGAGGGAGGGAGGGAGAGAAAGAGATCAGTGCGGTTATTTTTTTGCGCATTGCATTCGACCAAGAGTACATACCGGTAACCCCCCAGAGTGTGCAACTCCCACATACCCTGCTGTCCCGACAGAATTTCAAGTTGACGTCATTATTGATGACGCAATGCTCCTTGCACCAGTGATTTACAACATGTGTACGGGTGTCAACGCATCACACGTTTTTCTTTGCAATAATTTGTACAGGATCGATCGGCTTCGGTCAACCACAGGTTCCGGATTCGTCTGATAATCCGTGTACAGCGATTCGTCTGATAATCAGTGTACAGCGCGCATTGCATCATCAAAATGACGTCAACTTGAAATTCTGTCGGGACAGCACCCATAGTGGAGTTGCACACTCTGGGGGTTATGTACTCTTGATTCGACGTATGGAAGCTCTGGAATACGATAAACGTGGTGGATGGACGAACGAAAAGTTTAAGCCCCCACAAGTACCTGTTGAAATCCTCTCCCGAACATTTGGCGAAGTTGTACATGACCCTGGACGACCAGACACGCTGTGCGCCAACGCACCAGCCGAACGTGAAGCACCAGCATTCACAGAATTTGAGCCTGTTTCAACGGAGGACGTTACGGCCCTTCTCCAGTCCATTGACGCATCACAGGCGACTGGACATAATGACCTGCCGGGTATTGTCCTTAGAAACTCGGCACCAATACTGGCTCCCTCGATCAGCATGACTTTCAATACTTCGCTATGTCAGGGGTGTGTTCCCCATCAGTTTAAATTGCCAATGTGGCGCCGCTATTCAAAGGTGGCAGTCTTGATCCTTGTCAGCCCACTGTGTATCGACCTATTTCTCAACTACTAGTCGTTTCTCGTCTCCTCAAAAGATCGTCAAAGCTCAGCTCACATCCTTTCTGACCGATCACAGCATTCTCCCTGACTCGCAGTTCGCGTACAGGAAGAACCACAGTACGGCGGACGCTCTTGTGCTAGCTGTCAATTGCTGGCTCAGAGCGAAGTATGAGCGCAAACTCACAGGTGTGATATTTGTGGATATGTTGAAGGCTTCCGACTGTGTCAAACACACCATCTTGGCACAGGAGATATCCGACATTGGGGTCGGCGGTACAGCCAGCTATGGTTCACTAGTTACCTCAGTGAGCGGCTGTAACGTGTAGTTATGCGCGGAAATTGCTCGAAATACGTCGCTTGCAGTCGAGGGGTGCCGCAAGGATCCGTCCTCGACCCTCTCCTGTTCACACTGTACATCCGTAACCTTCAGTGCTGACTGCCCCAGCAGGTCACAAACCAGGAATTTGCAGACGACATTGCAATCGAAGCCTCGGGCAGCTGCCAACAAGTGTGCTCCTCTCTAAGCACAGCTAGTGTGCTCCTCTCTAAGCACAGCTAGTGTGCTCCTCTCTAAGCACAGCTAGTGTGCTCCTCTCTAAGCACAGTTAGTGTGCTCCTCTCTAAGCCCAGCTAGTGTGCTCCTCTCTAAGCCCAGCTAGTGTGCTCCTCTCTAAGCACAGCTAGTGTACTCCTCTCTAAGCCCAGCTAGTGTGCTCCTCTCTAAGCACAGCTAGTGCGCTCCTCTCTAAGCCCAGCTAGTGTGCTCCTCTCTAAGCACAGCTAGTGTACTCCTCTCTAAGCCCAGCTAGTGTGCTCCTCTCTAAGCACAGCTAGTGTGCTCCTCTCTAAGCACAGCTAGTGTGCTCCTCTCTAAGCCCAGCCATCACTGGCCTGTCACCGTAGTTGGAGGAGCGCGGACAATGCTGAACCACAAGAAAACGCAGGCGCTGTTGATTACCCCAAGAGGCCCAGCCCCTGCCACAGATGACATACGAATTCGCTGTGGGAATGCAGCCCTTGCAGTTGTCGAACAAGTGCAGTACCTGGGCGTCATGGTACATGTTGATGGTCAGCTCTCCTGGGAGCCTCACGTCAACCACACAATCCAGTATGCTTCCAACGCGTTTTATCCGTCACTAGTAATTGGCAGCGTGGAGTCCCTGACATGGCTAACGAAGTGCGCTATTCGCGGCTTCTTCGGTCTGCCACAGAGGTCGCGCACAAGCCCGATCTTTCAACAGCTCTGCCTCACCACCCTGGAGGACATATTTAACATCAAACTCCTCGTCTTTGTCCAGCGTTGTCTGTTCTCTCGAGCTAGCTCCCTCTTCACCAGCTTCTTCCTGAGGGTTACTGGTGACCGCACTCGGGGAGCAGCACGTCACCTTCTACAAGTTCCACGTTGGTCCGGTCCTGCGGGTCGAGCGACCATGCAGTTCATCGGCGCAGTGCTGTGGAACCAGCTCCAGCCTGATCTCCATTCCGAGCCCAGCCACCTCCAGTTATGTGCCCTGCTAAAGGCGAATCACGGCTCTGTTTAAATGCTTTTTCGACTAGTGTGTTTCTGTGGTATAGCGGACTGAAGAATAGGAAACGTGTTTCGCAATATTTATAGTTTTTATACGATGCTAGTATTTCGTATATAGTTACACTAGTATATACCCATTTCGTTTTCTCATCCCCTCTGTCATTCACATGTATCAAAGGAGGCGAAACCGCCTGTTTGTGGTGCGACGTTAAATAAACTTCAACAACAACAACAACAACAACATTAGCAATCATACTACATGTAAACGGTCTCGTTGTTATGACAAAATCCTTTCAGGTTTGTTCTTCAGCAAATTCACATTTCCCGTACTATTGAAAGGTTGCCTCCTAACTTGGGGCAGAGCCATCCCACAGCTCCATACAAATCAAATAGCCCTACTTGTGTAAACGGATCCAATCTCTGATAATCCCAATGAGACTCTAACCCAGGTCCGACTCAATGACTCGTTTCATGTGAAACAATTGAGCCGCTGAACTCTCTATAATGGACCGTGTGCAACAATTGTGTCTCGCATAAATCTGACTTGAACAGAAAGTATGTTGAAGGATAAAACACAATGGCAGTACTGAAATACCTTTGCAAGCTGTACGTTGATCCACTTAGTGAATACACTGGCCTGTACTCGGTCTGCACAGTAAGAAAACAGGTGACAAAGGTGGGAGAGAGTGAGAGAGGTATCACACATTGGCTATGCCCTGCATCATAGAACTGTATGTCATGCCAACGACACACAACCAGCACTCTTGATCAGACTAAGTTGCCTGTACTCAGCAGCATCACTGCAACCGCAGCAGTTACCACCACCACCAGTGTGGAAACATGCAATACCCCCAAACGACACAAGCAAAGCAAATTTACATCAACAATACAATTGTAGTTGTTTCGTCATCATGTGTGTCTGAGATCTCCGATCGTTTCACAAAGATCGATGGGTTATGCAAGAGACTCTCCACTTGTTGGGGGGGGGGGGGGGAGAGAGACAGGGAACTGAGGCATGAAGACAACAATGATGTAATATTGTCTGCATTTCGGAAAAGATAATGGTACACTGATTGCCTAGGTGAAGAAGGTAGAGTGGTGTCTGCAGCAGCAGCAGCTGACATTGACAGTATGAAAACAGGTAAAAGTGTGCCTATCTTGACAAATAATTGACTGATCTCCATCAGAATGTACTTGAAGTTGCCACTTATGATGACAATGCCCGGAGACAAAAACGTAAATGCCTCCAGAGAGGAGTGACTTGACTTGGGACTGAAGCATGTGCATGTGCAGCTTACAAAATATTACATGCACAGGGCTACCAGAGGAATTCGAACAGTGACGACCATCCCTACCATATGGCATGCAACCTGATCATGTTGGACATTCCACTTCCAGTGGAATCCAATTCACTTACTTTCATGTTTCAAAAAAAAGGTGGACTTTCTGCTTCTACTCATCCCTATGTGACATGTCCACAGGCGAACATTCTGCCTACTATTATCGCCCATGACATGTAATAATATCCACAGGGTTATGCATATGATGGTTTACTGGCAATATCATGAAACAGCGCACAGGAATAGAGGGACCACAACAAAACGAAGACCATCCCATCGCAGCATAGCGGCTAAGCCAAACGTTAGCAAAGAAAAAATCGTTAGAAAGCGACTTACGAACAGGTGCGTTCAGTAGCTACTGGAAGTGCTAAGTGGTAGATCTACCCAATCCGTAACCCACGCACTCCTTTCCCTCAATCGACAATAAGGATCTCCGCGACAAACCAATTCTGCAGCAGGAACCATAGACTGGCTCCACGTGGAGACCCCAGCTCACCTCCGAACTAGCACCCCTTTTTTTCCTCTCGCAATGAGCTCCAAGGCAGCGTGTCCCAGGCTAGGCGGCAAGGCGCTCAGGCATATGAACTGACATGACAGTGACACCCGAGGTCGAAAGCAAAAAACCTCTCGCGCCGAGAAAACATCGATTCCTGTTGTACTCGACACCTAGAGGGTTAGACTCGATTGTGAAAAGCCTTTTCGACATTAGAACACACCCGCACTGCTTGCTCACGCCGAAAAGGCACAAGGCGACGCACCTGAGGCAACGTAACTTTATTTTAGTTGGTTTCTTTTGGGGTGCACGCGAGCGATCGGTGAAGCGCTAGCTAGCGCTGTGTTACCGGCGAATGGCATGCATGGCGTATATACATGTATATACTTCTTTTCCGCCCATTCGTACATCACTCGTCACCAAGAAGGGAATTATTTTCACGCTACACAGAAAGTAGGTCTACAGTCTACACTGTCTGGTAGATCAGACGAGCACCACTGCTAGCTAGCTAGCTGCTCATCGCGGCACGCGTAGATCTACGCACACACAAACGAGGTCGCTCAAAATAATTACCACACTTCAGTCAGCTAAAAAAAGGTCACCGCCGCGCCATTGCCATCTATATCTAGGCCCACACGTTCATATGAGCTGGTCGAAATAGCAAACATAAACATCACAATTGTTATGGGACTGGAAGATCTTCACAAATATTTCTAAAATACTAGTATCCAAACGCCCTACATCTGGTCCCCATCCCCGCCATCGTCATCAAGCTGCATTACCTAGTACCTGCACGCTAGGAAATATCTGCCACGCTGTCACGGGCCATCCACCCTCTTTCAGGAAATGCGCCGGACAGTTCCTTCCGCACTCCTCGGTACCCGAACAAGACGACGAAGAATATCGACTGTTGCTGGAAGAGCGACTGATGCAACGTCTACAACAACACGAATCCTGAACGGATAGCCAGGAAGGCCTGGGGATCAAGTGCTGAACTACTAGGTTCACGGATCGACCATCGGTCAGCTAGCCATGCAATGAAACCAGCCGATGTGTCCGCCTCCAACAAGTCCAAGTCTCAGGAGCGAGTCCATACGATCTCAGATTCACTGTTTAGTAGTGTTTACTATACTAAACGCACTACTTGTAGATCTACAGTACAGGCTGAATCTAGCTGCTTTCCGCCGGTTGTGTCCAGTGGTGTCGAAATCGAGAATCGAAAACACTCCGGCTTTCGGACTACTGGCAGTCCTGCATGCCAAGTGCCAGTAGCTAGAACTACACTACACAGTCATACAGTGATACATGACCCGAGTCGATCAAACAGTACAGCGGATCTCAGGGGGAGGCCACACCAAGTTGTTGTAGTACTGTATGTAGAACCACCAGCACAGTCATAATCATCAGTTACAGGGTTAGGTAGAGTCCTAGCAGAGAGCATGCAGGCACTGCATCTTGTAGCTGCAGCAGGCATGAATGAACGATGTTTATAAACAGAGCAGCAGGAGGACTGGATCATCATGATCATGGAGGGCATAGACTCAACCAGAGTCCAGACTCCAGGGTAGGCTTTTCCGGATTATGCGTTTTTTCTTGGTCTAAAATGGAAATGGAAAGTGTTTTGAAAAACCCCTATAAATCAAATTTTTTTCTAAAGAAAATGCAAAAATTTACCCAAAAAGCACAAAAAATGCCACCGTTGCCATGGTAACAAAATGGCGACAGCTAGTCGCGTGACATTTGGCACCATGGTGATCATTCATGGTGATCGTGAAGTACCTATCGCTTGCAGGGAGCCGTAAAATACCGGTATTTTACGACTCCCTGGCCCAAAGTGGGTCAAAATGGACAAAATGCATTTTGACCCCCAAAATGCAAAAATATGCAAACACATAATCCGGAAAGGCCTAGCCTGGTCTGGAAGTGGAACACTGATGACTGATGACCAGCGTAGATTGTAGATGTGAGGACAAAGACAGGTACATGTAGTAGATCTACACAAGCCTGCCACTGCCAGCATGTAATTGTTATGTAATCCACAAACGAAAAAAGGCAAGAGGTACTAGTAGTAGTCTAGGGACCTTTGCCTTGGCAGAGAAAGTGTACGTTGTGTGTGTATGTGCACGTGCGTGTGTATGTACATGCAAGTATGTCATGTGTGTGTGTGCGTGTGTGTGTGTGTGTGTGTGTGTGTGTGTGTGTGTGTGTGTGTGTGTGTGTGTGTGTGTGTGTGTGTGTGTGTGTGTGCATGTGTGTATGTGCCTTGCAAGCTGTTGAAGGGGGCAATCCCAGCACAAGGTGCTATGTCTAACATAGCTGTTCACTATCATCGCTTCCTCGATGGGCAGGTCTGAGGTCTGAGGTGGATGTGTGCACGTGTGTTGCTTGGCTACGTGGGAGTTGCGCATTTCCAACACACAGGCCTTTCTCTGAGAGGTATCAAGCATTAAAAAAAATACAAGATTGAAGCAGTACTACACCATACTGGCACTACATGTACTTCCGATTCAATAATAATTGGCAAGTAAGTTTGTCACATGCCAGCTTCACAATCATGTACTAGTATTATTTTAAATGCATTAGCCAGCGGAGGACTAGTACACAGTAGTTGATCTACACTACAGGTTTTCACAGAGCAGTACTGGTGGATAACTATTTTTTTGGGAAATTGTCATCCACAGCTCCCTGGTATGATTACATACATACATTGTACATGTATGTTTTGCTATCCCTACAACAGGAGGATGAGCAGACTTTTTTTAGAAAGTGACCTGGAAGTGGAAGAGAGGATTTATCTACCCTAGCCCCGCCATGGCTAGTCAGCAAGACCTTACTCCCTATACTATACTAGTCTATACTAGTCTATACTAGTCTATAGGGGTTTATAGTGACTGTAGAGTAGGTGTGTGCTGTGTAGACTGGCATATCGCCTGGTATAATACTATAACTTTTATTTGACCTAAATTGTACAATCATTACAATGACATTGTAATGACTGACTATAATTATGGCGGCAACGAGAATTCTGTGGCCAGCTGGTGACTGTGATCAGATTTCTCTGATGAAACAAACATCCGTACGTACATGATTGTACATGACTGTACACGCCGCGGCACCTGGACAGGTGTTCCATTCACCCTCCGTGTATGCGTGTACATGTATGTGGCTGCCTCAACCACCGTCAGAGCCACGGAAGTACCGGTAGGATAAATGTGGAGACCGGATCAAAAATTCAATACTGTGGCCTCCGGGCAATGGGAATCTACAGGAGGAAGAAAAGAAATGACCACTCACCCCGGTCCTGGGATATGCTGTCGATGCGACTTGAAAGTCCGCGCGTAAGAACGCCACGTCTTCGGGACGGCGGAGCTGCGCGATTGCCTCTGCGCCTCGAGGTGCCACCGCCTTCAGCAGCACCAGCGGCTCCATCCGCTTCGCCTCGACTGGCCATTGCTAGTACCAACTACTAAGTACTAGAAACCGCTAACGTCTACATTGGAAGCGTCAAACACATTCTCTCAGAATTTGAATTAGCTGCCTTCTGTTTGCACGACGGCAAGATAATGATGTGCACTGGAATGAGAATAATAATATTGTTTACCGCGATAGTGATACTGCCTAGCCTGACTATGTGATGACTACAGACTAGTGATGTCTTCAGTCTGCATGCTGGTGTGGCTGTCAAACGAAAAAATCCTCAGAATCCAAGTAAACACTGTAACGGTTTCCCATGTAAGTAGTTAGTTTGTAACGATGTAGACTCTACTGTCTGAGTAGTGCCAGTGGCTGCATGCTGCTGCTGTTGCTCCGACATG